TCCTCCTGATCCCGCCAGGGTTTCAGGTTCCATCCCGGGTCAGGACACATACAAGAATCAACCAGTTAGGGCATAAACAAGGGGAGCAACAAGTCGATGTTAAGTGGCTATGTTCCCGACTTGCTTGTTACGCAGCAGCAGCTCACTGGGACGACTGAGCGAATGACAAAACGCACCGCGTTCGGGTCGGTCGGTAGTGTATGGGAAGTCGCTGAAAGAGCCTCTCTGCCTCCCCCAGGTACGTTTATGCCTGTTTTTCCAAGATGAGGTCGTTCACACAGGTTAAATCGCTTCCACAAACATGCGGAGGAACCTGCACTGTTTCCTCGCTACAGAGACACTTTGTTGCAGAGCTGGTGGCCCGCGGGGTGAGACACTTTGTTGCAGAGCTGGTGGCCCNCCTCGCTACAGAGACACTTTGTTGCAGAGCTGGTGGCCCGCGGGGTGAGACACTTTGTTGCAGAGCTGGTGGTGGTGGTGGGAGGGTGATACGAATCTTTTAAAACAGCGCTTATTCCAGGCCAGGAATCCCGTGACTGTCTAACACTGAAGTAGAACCCTGAGTGTTTTAAAGGAAGTTTCCAGAGGCCGGACCGGGCTGTCTTCCTGGCAGCGGCTGCCAGGGAACTCTGGACGTGGGGAAGGATGAGTCTGACAAATACACAGAACAGTGCTAAAGGGCCCGGCTCCTGGTCCAGAAGCGGACATTGTTGGCAGCGCAGCTTCGGGCTCCACCCCAACCTCCCCCGTCGCCCCTTCCTGCCCGGGGCCAGGACTCCCCACTGGAGTTTTGCAGCCAGAGAGAGATTCCGAAGCAAAATGAACAAACTAGAATGCAAAGTCTCAATTTCCTTCCTGTGTCGCAGGAAAATGGAAAATCTCAGTCCTCCCCGGATCCCAGGAGAAGCAATTGTCCGCTCCCCTAAAAATTGTGGGGCAGAGACCTGGATGGTTCAGGCCGGGATTCGTTTCTCTTCTGTCTCCTCTGGTCAGCTCATCCCCCGCCCCCTCAGGGCAATTATGTTTCAAGTCTGGAGAAGGTGACTTAGGAATTTGGCTTAGAAAAATGGCTCCTTTAACTCAATCTGAGCCTTTTCCAGGTCAGCCCATTAAAAAGTGCCAGAGGTGCCCGGCTGGTGTGGCTCAGTGGTTGAGCGTCGCCCCAGGAACCGAGAGGTCTCCAGTTGGATTCCCGGTCGGGGCACATGCCCAGGTCTCGGGCTTGATCCCCAGTAGGGGGCGTGCAGGAGGCAGCCGATGGATGTTTCCATCTCTCCCTCTCCCTTCCTCTCTTTGAAATCAATAAAAGTACAGTTTTTAAAAAATTGATAAACTGTTTTCACATCCTAGGTGGGGCCCCCCCCCAAAAAAATTTGCTTGCTTAATTAAATCGAATACTTAATTCTGTAAAGCTCTGTGATGTTGTAAAGTACACGTTTTATATCCAGGGCACAAGAGGTTTTAATAGACTCGACTTGTGTTCCAAATTAAAACAATGTTAAATTCTTTAGTAACCCTAGTGGGGGGAGAGAAAAAAAAAGAAAACCCCTCTTATTTCCAAATCACCACCGGTGGAATTCTAAAAGTTATTTACACACTCGGCCGCCAGTCCCTTTATACTTGGCAGGTTTGGCAGGCAGGCCTGAGGCACTAATTCAAAACAGAGCTCGGGAGGGTGTGTAAGGAACTCCCTCACTTTTCCAAAATAAATGTACCACCAGAGCCACGAAAGAGGCGACTTTTCCTAAGGAAAGACTGTCATTGGGGCACTAGGAGCCCGTGGTGCTGGGAGGCGAGCTGGCCGTGCAGTGCGGTCACTTTCCATGGACTCAAGGACGGAGTGGAAAGAAAAGAGCGATTAGCCGGCGTGGCTCCGTTGGTTGGGCGTCATCCTGCGCACCAAAAGGTTGCCGGTTCGTATTCCCGGTCAGGGCACATTCCCCAGTTTGTGCTCGGTCCCCCGTAGGAGGCATGCTACTAAAACTCAATAAAGAAAACATTTTTTAAATGTCTTTTTTTGTTGATTTCAGAGAGAGGAAGAGAGACAGAGAGAGAGAAACATCGAGGAGAGAGACATCCGTCTGCTGCCTCCTGCACGCCCCCTACTGGGGAGCAAGCCGGCAACCCAGGCATGTGCCCTAACGGGGAACCACACTGTGACCTCCAGGTTCACGGGTTGATGCTCAACCACTGACCCACACCGGCCGGGCTCTTTCTTGAGGAAAGAGGGCCCTTGGATGTTTGTGGCCAGGAGCTCCCCACACGGGCCTAGTAACTGCAGCCCATCCCCTCTCTTCCCTGCCTGCCCCCAGCCCTCCCGGCCGAGCAGACGGAAACCAGACCCCCCCCACGCAGCGAGACCTCAAATCAGGAACACATGAGGCTTTACGCGAGGCTTTGTCTAAAGGCAGCCGATGGCTGAGCGCTCTGCCGGTCCCGCCATCTCGTCTGAGACCCGACGCCTGCGTCCTGCGCTGACGAACCCGCTTCACAGATGTGTCCGGGAAGACACAGCCGGCTGGCCTGTCAGAGGCGCGGACAGGGACGGGGCTGTCCCCAGCGACCAGGTGCTACTTCCCTGCGAGGAGCAGCCCAGCCCGGCGAGGCTCAGCGGCTGAGCATCGACCTGGGATCCAGGAGATCGCGGTGTGATTCCCGCTCAGGGCACATGCCCGAGCCCCAGAGGCAGCTCACCCATGACTCTCATCATTGATGTTTCTCTCTCTGAAATCAATAGACATAAAAAAAAA